GTTGATGCCGTCGTTGTCAGGAGGGCAGCAAAGCGTAGGATCTTTGGTTCATTCTGGTGCTGTTGGCCAGAGGCTGTCTGTAACTCCTGTAACTTCATCAAAGTTGAGCTCTGCGGACAGCGGGTCTCTGACAGTTCCAGATTCTAAAAGTCCCAGGTTAAAATAAGTACAGTTTTTTAATGTCGACTTATTAAGGAAACTTTCTAAATCGGATTTAGAGACGTAACTTTTTAGAAGATTTTATTCCGGAAGTGATGGCTATCAAGAAAGCCATTGCTTCATTAAGAGTAGTGGACTTTTAAAGAAGCTCCCTGTAAAGGCCTTTGCATTAGCTCACTATTCATTTTGGTTAACTGGGAAATTTGATGGTCGTAGATCTTCACAGTCATTTTTATGATTCTGCCTGCAGGGATGCTGCTGTATCATGGTTTAGATGGAATGTTGGTAACTCAAAAAATAAACATTTATATTTAAGGTTTAAAACTTTGAGCGAGGAGAGGCATTACCGACGGATATGTGGTGAAAGTGAGGGTTAGTTTGCATTGTTAGTTGTTTTGAAACGTTTGAGTTTCTCATTACAGAGTTTGCCAAATTTTTCCTTGTAGACTTTTAATCATTCAACGGAACACTTCATTCTTATTTAACTAACTTGCCTTTTCTTTTAGCCAGGTAATAAAATGCAGTTTTCAGTACTTTCTCCTCCAGCTTCACCATCTTATCTTGAGAAGTCGCAAAGTTACAAGTCACTTAAAAGTCCGCAAATTAAGTCATACACCCCATCTAGCCGTGAAATTCATAGGCCTTCACCACTACTGAATATGCCTGCAAGAGAAATTTGTGAGCAGCAGGTAGTTTGGCAACTAAATGTATTCTCATTGATTAGTGGAGTTTTATTGACTATTGTTATTACAGATTTGTTTTTTTTAGAGCACTGTAAAGGAACAGAGAACGCCTTTGTTTGGTGCATCCCCAGCCTGGTGGGGAGATGAAAAATTAGAGCCTACCTCAGAAACATTGCATAATGAAGGACATTCCGTTCCGTAAGTTGCTACATATAATAATCATAGTTTCTTATTTTGTATACTGCTGATCTTATTTTAAAGGAGAGCTGCGGGAGGCTCTGGTAATGTGAAGACTAACGCAACAGCGATAACAGCGACGGAGGCTGACGTGCAACCCGAAACCCATCAGCAATCGTAAGTTTAAACAGCGTTATTTACTACAACAAAGAGTCGTTGTTTTCATGATGCTCGGAAACCTGAGAGTTCACTC